CCTCGTATCATCAAAGGGCCAACCTTCTCCATGCTGGCTCAGGAATTATGGGCGTTGAAGTCCATGTATCATCAAAGGGCCAACCTTCTCCATGCTGGCTCAGGAATTCTGGGAGTTGAAGTCCTCGTATCATCAAAGGGCCAACCTTCTCCATGCTGGCTGAGGAATTCTGGGAGTTGAAGTCCATGTATCATCAAAGGGCCAACCTTCTCCATGCTGGCTCAGGAATTCTGGGAGTTGAAGTCCATGTATCATCAAAGGGCCAACCTTCTCCATGGTGTCTGAGGAATTCTGGGAGTTGAAGTCCACGTATCATCAAAGGGCCAACCTTCTCCATGCTGGCTGAGGAATTCTGGGAGTTGAAGTCCATGTATCGTCAAAGGGCCAACCTTCTCCATGCTGGCTCAGGAATTCTGGGAGTTGAAGTCCTCGTATCATCAAAGGGCCAACCTTCTCCATGCTGGCTCAGGAATTCTGGGAGTTGAAGTCCACAAGTCTTAAAGCTGTCAAGTTTGAAGACCGCTGCTCCAAGGAATCTGATTTTTCTCTTTGGCCCTGTTTGGTCCCTCTACCCCTACTCGATCCCAAAAGTACCTACCTAAATCTTTCTAATCTTTCCCCTTGAAAATCAGTTTTGGAAAAAACAATTGAAAAAATATTTGAATGTGCAGAAATGAATAGATGAACATTAGGAATTAAAGAAAAAGAAGAATCTGAATATTACATGGTATGGGACTTGTTTTATGAATGGCTAGAAAATAAAATTAATTAAAAGGGATTAGACGTAATTACAAAGCAATAAGAGAAACTAGTGTAATAGATATACTGAATGTTACTTATATTATATTTATGGGAATGTGATTATTATTATTATAGAGTTATACTGTTAAGAAGAATATTGCTAGTAATTGTGGAGCACATGAAATATGGACCTAATCGACACATGATTGAAATGGAAGGGATTTATTGTGTTAAAAATAAAAAGAATTAATTTAAAAAAAAGAGAGAAAGAAAATGAGTTTTGGGGTCTCTTCAGGCTGGTATTCCCTATCTGGGGGGGGTGTCTCCTCCTTCCTGCCCCATTGCTGCCAGCCCCTCCCCCCTTATAGGTAGTCCTCAATTTGTGACCTCTGGGAGCAAACTTTTCGTCCACGGCAGTTGTTAAGGGAGTTGGGCCCAATTGTGCGAACTTTGTGCCGCAGACGTTAAGCCAATTTCTGTGCTTTGTGGTGTGACTCACCTGGTCATTAAGTGAATCCAGCTTCCTCCATGGACAATACTTGGTGGAAGCCGCCTGGGAAAGTTGCAAGGATCCCAGGACTCTCCCGCGGTCATAGATGCATGCCAATCGCCCCAAAATTTTGACCCTGTGATTCCTGGAGATGCTGCACCAGTCATAACGGCGAAGCCTGGTTGTACGTCGATCTTGGGCAGGAATCGGGGTGTGTGTGTGTGTTTCCAATTGGCCAAGAAGGGGGACATAGGTGGAGATGGCCTCAACCACACCTGTATACCTG